CTTATGGAGCCAAGAAATACGTGTACCAAGTTTCATCATGATATCTCAATTTTTACTCAAGTTACAGCTTGCACGGACGGACGGACAGACAGACACAAAATTAAAACAATAGAGACAGCAAACGACGAAGAATATGCATTATTGGTTAGACAGCATTCACACGTACTCCGTGAATCACCCTGGATGAATCGGCAGCGTTATTGGCCCGTACTTCTTCCATGATACTCAAAACCGGCACGTTACTGTGAAAGGGAATCACTACAGCTCAATGATAACCCAATAATTTTGAACCGAATTAAATGATGTGGTATTGGACAATATGTGGTTTCAACAAGACGGCGCCACAAGTCACACTGCGAATGTCGCAATCGATTTATTGAAAACCAAGTTTATTGAACGTGTTATCTCACGGATTGGTTCAGCGAATTAGCTGCCTCGGACATGCGATTTGACACCGTTGAACTAAGTCTTCTTCTTATGGGGCTACATCAAGTCTATGGTCTATGCCAACAAGCCAGCGACGATTGATGATTTCGTACGAATATATCAGTATCTATTGAAGACTGTCTTAAAAACTTCATTAACTCTAAAGTCTAGGAGTGCTATAGTTTGATGGTGGTGAGAAATTTTAGTAAGCATTTTCTCTATTAAATTGGGATTTAACAAATGGTACAAAAAAGTAAAACGAAAAATATTTCATTATTCATCAATATTTATTTTGTCGACTTCAAACTACTTATACCAACGATTTTTTCAGTCCTGGAAACACTTTTCATAAGCACTTTTTGGGATGGTTTCAGCTTCTTAACGAAACGGGTTCCACGGAAAGCGAACTAACCCATCGCATCGTTGCAGAGAATCGCAGAGGCTACTCTTGCTGCAAGCAGTCGCCTATGTGGTAAAAGCGGCTCCAGAGTCGCCTGAGGTTAGAAATTAAAATTTTGTTTAATGTTTTTCAGAAATCGACAGCTCAAAGGTGCTAAAGAGCAAGATGCGACACCTCAAAGCTTCTTACCTATCCGCATTGGTCTGGAAAGGCAAAACTGCCGGCGAATGGTGATAGGGCCAGCGTATCAGCACACATCAATAAGATTTGCCCACACTGGGACTTATTGAACGACATTTTCGGACATCAAAAAAATATCAATCGAGGGGGTCAGACACACTTAAAATGTCCTTTGAGCTATTTGAATAATCACCAACCGGAGTCTTCAACCAGTCATGCCACTCCGAAGCCTTCCAACCCGCTTACTTAAGAAAATTTAAAAAAAGACGAAACATTGAAAATCCTTTCATTTTCAATCGTTATTATTTTCATTTCATCGTTATTATTAAAATGTAAAAAATTGGCGAATTTTATCGTAGCGATTCCTTGGCATACAATCCATGATTGGCTTGAAACCATAGTCACCCCAATATGATCGAATTCCGGGATATTTATACACCGACATATAATAACTGATTCCCATAAAACGATTTATTTCATCAGGCGTGTTTTGTTGTATTGCGTACAAATTGCTCTGTTCCACAATATTTCAAATAATGTCGTCTCACATAAGAAATGTAAAAAACTCCGGTGTCAAAGCCTCATTACCTCGAAATCTTATCCAATTAGCGTATTGGCCTTGTTACACGTAACGAGTACAGTGGCGAGACAGTATTTTGGCCGAGTATGATACTCTTTCGAGAGAGTTGCGTTGGCGAGTAGAGGTTTACACGTATTTTGTTCATCATTTGTTTGGTAGAAAAAGACATTTTAAAAGAGTTTTTACTGAAGTTCTACCGCATCTCTAATTCCACTTATTTGCCATTTCAATTCTTTCACAATGCAAAATGCAATTGAAACTAAATAAACAACATAGAAATCGACCGAGTGGGGAGTGAAGACCGAACGCATGTTCACATGCAATGAACGAGTCAGTGATTAGCTCAGAAGGGGCAAAAGAGTGAAGAAAAAAGTAGCACTCGGCCTAGTAAACATAATGTGATTCTAGTGACTCTCTCGCCACTATACTCGCCCACTGACTCGGTTCATTACTCGCCYTACTGTTTAAACGAAACGARCACTCGGCCGAGTCACTGTCTCGCCGCTCTACTCTTTACGTGTGATCAAGCCATATAATTGGAGATTTCTTTTTCGCCACAACGCCACACACATACGCCTTCAAACATTGTGGCATACTCTAGCCATCGGGCGTGATCATCTAAAACAACTGGCTCTTCTGCAACATCCATGCCTAATAAAAATCTTTTTTAGAAACAAAAAGCTTTCGTATAAGAGAAAGGGATATGTTAAATTGATTTGGTTCACTATTTTCTTCTATAACTGGATTGCCGATATCGACATCTGCAATATCTGCCGCATTCTGAACAACAGCTAAGTCAGCAATGTTCTGAACATCTGCTACTTCGTCTTCTAAATCTTCACTACGCAAAGCAGCACTAAAGTCAAAATAGGGGTCTACATCATTGTCATCAGCAGAAAAATCGCCGCCGTCTTCGCTTTCCGACCACGCAATAGAATTAACGAACTCGCTTAGCTCTTCTTCAGTTCGAAAATCACGTTTTCTACGAGACATTGCTGAAAAATCTACAAAAAAGCCATAGTATAATAATTTTGTATATAATTTCATATTTGCAAAATTTCGTACTCCGGGTGCCTGACGGTTCCGCAAGGAACCAACCAAAAAATTAAACAAATCTTACAAACAAATAAAAYTTACTTACCTATAAAACTTATCTTAGCTTTTTTACACTATTATTTAAACTTTGAGATTTTTTCCCGTTCCGATTTTAACGAATTATTCACAAAAAAATTGTTGCAAAAACGTGATTTCACAAAGTTCACTAAAAATGTGGTAGATGCACTCAACTCAATACAAACATGCCAACTGACGTTTATTACAAGTGGGGATAGAAAGGGCATATGGCGCATAAATCAATTAACGGTCTTATAATGACAAGTAAATTCTAAAATAAAATTCGTTAAACAGAATTTTGAATTTAAGCGGTTGGTTCCTGGCGGTACCAGTGGGTTATTAAGGGTTAATAATAACATCAAATGTATTTCGGTTGACCCGCACAATTTGTCTAAAACTGTTTACATCCAAATGCGACAAAACGTTTATTAAAAATACTTTCTATTTTGGAGCAGAATGATGAACAAAAGGATACCCATATATAAACTATTTAGAAGCTTTAATTGCAAGGCAAAGCCTTCCTCAACATGACCTTTTTTTTTTTTTTTTTTTGATTTTAGTATTGAACACTCAAAACAAAAGCGATTATATTACCGTCATTGTTTCCAAATAGCTCCAACATTAATAAATCGTAAAAAGGACTTTTTCCCAAAATTTGAGAAATTTCACTTTTTAGCTTACTCTCTAGATTTATGATTTAGACACCTAAACAGCTGATAAAAAATTTCTTCTTCTTCTTGATTGGCGTAGACACCGCTTACGCGATTATAGCCGAGTTAACAACAGCGCGCCAGTCGTTTCTTCTTTTCGCTACGTGGC